GCTCCAGTATCAGTACTTGTAACTGCATTTTATTTAACATCTCATTGCAACAAAGGTTTCTTCAGCTAAGTTGTTTATTTTGTAGTTTTCGGTTCGTGATAAATTTCTAAACTCCATCACTGTTTTAATTTAATTTAAAAAACCTACAGRGTCTTTGTTTTTCTGTTTAATTTGCTGATGGCGCAATGCATTCTYGATACTGTRGACGTGTAGGATYRTCAGATGCTGCCTATGTTTTTGGAGTTTTGGTGGCTGCATTCATCGGATTCAGGCAGCCTATGGCGCAGAACAGTGACGTATAGCAGTCAATGTCAACTGCAATCCATGAATTGAGACACAGCCTTGGAGTTAACCTGATTCAAGATGGCTGCCAAATCCAAGTGCTCTGAAAACAATAATTCAGATAGCTGTACAGCAACAGTTTGATGTGGTGAGTCTAGTTTACAACACATATCCCAAGTACTACACATTGRGTGACATATTTGTTTGACACTTCAGTTTTCCTTGTTGGCATTCATCTTGTTTGTCTGTTCACCAAAATATATCAAAAGCCACTTGATGGATTTTAATGTAAAGGTCAGAGCATTAACGTTGGACCTACAACTGATTAACTTTTGGAGTCAATGCAGCTGAAGATGGCTGTCACACCTTATTTACCTTTGCCAACTCAAAAACTGCTATAGACCATTTTACAGATGTTTGCTGTGTTATTAGTTGAGTTATTCACAGCATAAAATTGCTCATAACATTTAGAGGGTTTGATTAAAACGACTGCAACTCTGCCCTTTCTCATTTTAATATTATCTTAGTTTAAAACTTTAGTATGAAAGGCAGTGGACAATTTGCATCCCTTCAAAAACGATAACTTTTAGAGAATACTGTGGGTTCAGTTGAAGTGCTGTCGAATGTTTAGATCTCATGGTTTTTATAAGTGTCACAGCCCTCATTCCAATGCACACAGAAGCAGCTGCAGAACAGGAAACAAAGACCTCGGTGACGTAAGAGCGTGATGTCATATAAACCCCTGAGTCTGTGTCAGAGTGAGGACACAGAAATGGACTGTGTTAGTGTGTCAGCCTGCTTCCCTTCTATTTATTCCGCTCTGTCTTCCTAACATCTTCCTTTCTTATTTGCATCCTCTCCTCTTTTGTGTTCTCTGGACAAAGAAACCAACCGGAGTTCTGACAGAAAATACAAACCCATTTTACAGAAATTTTAGGTCATTTTCGTCAATTCAACATGTGATGTAACATTAAATTTATCTGAATCTTTAGGAGACGTGCCTTTTCTTAGTTTTCACACATCTAAATTTACACGCAAATCTATAATTTAATACCAGTGACACACTATAAAGGAAGAGAAGCATGTGTCTATAGTGCAGGGCTATTCAACTGGTGGCCCGCGGGCCACATCCGGCCCGTGAGTGACCAAAGTTCGGCCCGCCAATTGGTTCATTCATCTCTTAAGCCCAAACTCCCGGTTTTCTACTTTAATTACTCTTAAGTTCTTTTAGTTAAACAACAAACCAAACAATATGTTTGGTATCAACAGAAACGTCAGAATCTTGYCTAGAAGCTGGTAAAAACCATTTCTATAAACACTCAAGACAGTTAAAACTACAAGTGGTTGAAAATAAAATGATGAAAGTGAAAATAAAATTGGTTTAAAAATTTGGCAAGTCAGAGATGTCAAAATATTATTTGTGTCAAATAGGAGGCATAACATGTTTTTTTGGTTTTTGATACTGTTTAATTATCACTACTTTTATAGGGTTCTGTATGTTATATTCATTATTAAATGCAGCAAAATAAACTAATTCAAAGGCAACAGATCTTTATTTTAATACTTGGTTTATTTACATAATAACTTTAATTGCTGGATGTTCGGCCCCTCAGCTGTTGACCTGCAGTAACTGTGGCCCCCGGAGCAATTTAGTTGAGTAACCCTGCTATAGTACACTGATGTTTGTAATTTTGCAAGATGCGTTCAAGTCCCTACTTAATTCCTTCATTCTACTGGGGCAAGCTCCAGCTCCCCCAGCATCCTTTACCACAGGATACAGTGAGTACAGAACATGAAGGAATGTTTACACACACTGTCAGGTCTGCCACTAGGAACTCAGTGTGGCAATAAAYCCTGGTTTGACAGTGAATAAGAAGGAACTTAATCCACAGAAAGATTTATTCACAGTTTATTGTACTGCAGCTGGTTAGCACTGTAGCCTCACCGTAAAAAGGATGTAGGTTCAAATCTCTGCCATGGCCTTGTTGCTTACATGTTTCTATGTGTGTGCTTTGGATTTCTCTGAGTAGTCTGGTTTCCTTGTGAAAGTTCAAAAGCATGTTACTGTTYGGTACTTGATAGAAAAATGCATTGCTGATTTCTTCACGACTAATTTAAATTCTTATTTTTTTGTTGTTTTCATTCAGCTTATTTGTGTCAGGAATAAAATATTAAGGAACATTATTTAAAGTTATAATGTCTAAAATGGTAAGCTGCCTTGTCCACTCATTTTACATACAATATATTATTTGAACAATACAGAGTCCAGTTTTAAAAACCCACTCATTAACACTGAGACTCAAGTCTCAGCTCAATGAAGACGTTATCAGCAATTAAACATGTTTTAATATTTGGGTATTRAAATTTTTCTTTTGAAAAATGTGATCCGATGATTTTTTTTCATTAAAATTATAATGGAAGAAACAAAGACAAACCCTTTAATTCTAAAACAACTGACACTTCTGATATGAGTGGATTCATGCAAACACATCCCAATACACAACCATTTTCGTGCACTTGGACATAACATTATACCCCCTCACATACCAATACTAAAGTAACTGCTTATCAGGCAGTGGGAGCCTGTGTCCCGTTGCACAGTAACTGAACCAAAGGCCTGAGGAGGTGACTAAAGAGGGTGGGAAGCCAAATCCAAGAGTCTGAGCTGTGTTGACAGAGAGCACGAACGTCAGCTGTCAACATCTGACTGATTTTGTTGCAGAGAAAAACATTTGTGTTTGATTTTTGCTAATGAAAAGTAGTTAAATAGATTACATTAACAAACATGATGAGTTAAGGCAATGGTTTTCTGTAAATGTGATTCATTCTTAAAATTTTATTTTGCCTTTTTTTATTTTAGTGGTTACTCTTTACCCCACTCTTGGAGGTCCAGCCATTGTTCATGGGCTAAACGAGGCTCAGGTCAGCCACATTATCACCAGCAGAGAGCTCCTGGAGACCAGACTAAAGGTTAGAATATGTTAAAATACAACTTATTTTCTGTAAATCTCTTTAACACTCATGGAAATATAGAATTAATCAAGAATGGAATGGGTGGTTTCCAAGTTTAGYTGCAGTGACATCTTGTGGCTGAACAGGAAGTTAAGATAAACGCAGATGTAAAAGAATGACACATAAATGTATCACCGTTACTTGAAATGTGTAATTGTAGCCATTTAGTTTGATAGATTATATTACACATCTCACCTCTGAAGAGCAAACGTACCAAAAATAAAAAAAACTTGACTTTTGTCAGAATCAGAATCATTTTATTGTCATTCACACACAACAACATCAAAGATGCAATGCAGAACGAAATTGCAGTTTAGAACATCCGTCCGGAGAAACACACACATGACAAACATGGGAGAACGAATGTCCACGGTCTTTCGCACTACGGTGCGCTACCTTTATCAGCTTAGAAAACACACACAATAGGAAAGGTGAGTTTAAAAAAGAGCTCTGATCCTGTGTTTTATACAGTTTTTGTGTTGAAGTGAAACTTGTCTGACTGAGGATTGGTGTGTGTGTGTGTGTGTGTGTGTGTGTGTGTGTGTGTGTGTGTGTGTGTGTGTGGGCAATTTTAAGACAAAACGCCTACATTTGGGGACAACTGGTGTATTTGGGGACCTAAGTCATATCCCCGTTTGGTTTAAATGCCATTGGTGGGTTGGGGGTTCAGCTTAGGACTAAGGTGTGAATTGAGTTTAGGTTAGTTTACCTGTGTGATCAGAGTTAGGCTGTAGGAATGTAATGGAAGTCAATGGAATGTCCCCAAATGTATATCTGGGCGAATCTGTGTGTGTGTGTG